GGGACTCAGTACCTTGGTCTGGTGGTCTGGTGTCCTCTGCATCTTTGTAGTGTGGAACCAGGTGGCTGCCTGTCTGCAGCGGGGTGATTCGGAGTCTTCTGTGTGACTCAGGACCTCAGTAGGGCGTGGGCAGACCTGCCTGTCTGCAGTGGGGTGATTCGGTGTCTTCCGTGCAACTCGGGAAAAAGTAGATTTTCAAACTTTCTTTGTACTAATAGGCATGACATGAAGGATAAAATGCCTTATATAACTAAGGACTATTCATATTCAAGTAAAAAGTATTAAGATGTTCAAAGTTTAAAAACAGACACAAAGGTAAATGAAAAAAATGCACATCAAGTTTGTTCTTTTCTATGAATATATTTTAAGTGAGGAAATCAAATCTTCTGCTTTTTTTTTTTTTCTGATCCAAGGAGCATACGGCCCTAGGTGCTTCTTACAGGGTCTTACACTGGAGGCATTATGGTGTGGAAGGTGGTTTTGGAGATGAACAGGATCCTTGACTATCAAAACTAGTTGCCCGGCCAGGTAACTCCCTGAACATCCTATTAGGACTGAAAAGTGTTCTCCTGGTGTTCTCTGACACAAACACATGTGAATTCCATAGCTCCTCCAGCAGGGGTGCCAGAGTGTGATGGCCTTCCTGTGATAAGCCAGCATCTCATTCCAGCAGTTGTGCCCAAGCCCCTCAGCGTCCAGCCCTCTTCCGCATACTCCTATGATCCCATTGTGTCTCACCCTGTCATAATCCATGACTGCAATGGTTAGGCTGACCTGGTCCATGTTCTCCAGAGGGATATCAAAAATAATGGCTTCATTGTAGACAGGGTTTAGAGTATTCTTCTTTATAGCTGTTTTCCTTTTTTTTAGTCTTCTACCCTCACATATCAGAGAGACTTTGACATAAAGGTCCGATGAGCCAGTGATATCCATCGCCTTCAGGTTCCTGCACTTGATGACTGTCAATATCATATGCCCAGCAGCTGGCAAATAACACAGGGAAAACATGATTTCACCCAGGTCTATACTTTCTGTGGTAGCACAATGAATGTCTTTCCATACTGTGGCTTCCCTGGAGAGATCAGAGACTTCAAACAAATTGTCAAGAATCACCTCCCCAATCATGTCATGTCTAGAAAATCTGTCAAAATCATATACACTGAAATGTAGTTTGCGGTTGCTTAATTGATCATATACTACTGGAAACTGAAAAGCCTCATCAAATAGAGGATTTAAAGTCTTTCTGTGTACATGGGTCTGAAATTTCTTTTTCCTATCTGGAAGAAGATACGTCTTCACATGTGGACCAGAAGTTCCTGTGAAGTCTTTCTCAGGGAGATCTAAGGCTTTGATAATTTTAACAACTAGAAGTTCATTTTCATAATCATACTGGAGGGTAAAGTTAAGTTTCCCACAGGTTTTGACATTTTCTGTTCTGTTGCCCTCAGAGTCCACTGACTTCTGTTTGTAGAGCTCTGGTTTTATTCTCCCAATGCTGGTTGTTGTTTCTCCTCTTTGTAAAACAGGTTCCACGTCCATGGTGAAATCCACACTGGACACTTGCATTTGTCTCCTGAAGGAATTGTGTCGGGATGAAGAAGTAGGCTCAGTAGTTTGTCTCTGCACATGTGCATGCTTAATTAAATGTACTTTTAAAGCAGTTTGGACTTCTGCTGGGATATCAGAAGTGTGGCTAATTTTTATTGCAGGCTCAAGAGCTTTTAGCGCTGGCTTTCCATTTTCTTTAACCTCTTTTTTCTCTTCAGCCTCAAAAACCTCTGTAGGAGCCCTTGAGATGCTCTGGGGGAGGATACTGACATTGGGAGTCACGGCTTTGCTCTTCCAGCATGGCCAGCACCACTTCCAGAAGACAAAAAGTGAGACAACCAACAAGGCCAGGCCACAGAAGCTGATGACCGCTAACAGGCTGAAGAAAATATCTGTGCTGCCCTTCGCGCGGCTGCCGCTCTCCAGCGGGAAGATGCCCGAGCACTTCTCCCACTCCACCTGGCCCGAGAAGCACAGTTCGGTGACGATGTGCAGCGCTTTCTGGCACAGGCTGCTCACCCGGTCCTCCTTGTGGAAATTCTCGGTCGGCTCTGCTCTGCGGCCCCGCGCTTCCTCCCCGTCTGCCGTGCCAGTGCGCTCCGGAGCTGCAACTTTAGGTGCCCGGGCTGGCCCTGTGGCGGGAGTGGGACGGGGGCAGCGGCACTGTGCTCACCCGCCTCGGCCCCGAGCCCGCGTGTCTGGATGCTGGGCGGCACGTTGATCCCAGCCAGCCATGGTGTACTGTTGATGAGGGGATTCAAAGGCTCATGGAAATGGGAATCCTGGCGTGGATTTGTCATGTTAAACCAAATCCACCACATTGGGATGATCCAGAAAATGTTCCCTTCACTAGCACCTTGAGGAACAGATTCATGAGGGGAACACCAGCATCCCTGAAGAGCCCTGTCTTTGCTCTTCTCTGTATGCCAGGCCTTACCTTACAGTGGGGACCATGGTTACTCAATTGGAAAACTTAAGGACAATGGGTTTAATTGGATCCTGGAGTGGCAGGGGTCAAGTGGCAGCACTTAATTGCCAAAGGAAAAGTACACACACTATAATGGACATAAGACGGTAAACAATGATCAAATGGTCTGACACATGTAGACCTATGGCATTGGCTGATTAGTCATTATGTTCCCAAAAGTGAAATAGGAAGCCTACAACATTTTCACTAAATTTATATACCGTAATTGAAAAAAATTTCAGGGTGAATCAACAGAAACATGCTTCAAATCATAGTAACAGGGAATCACAATCCCTCAACCAGTTCCCAGATCTGAAGCAGTTTACAGACCCAGAACCCTTTGAATGAAGAGGAGGCCAGGTCACCTGGTACACCCAGGACCCTGGTGGACTACCAAAAATTTATAGTCATTCTTTCTCCTATCCTTCCCCAAAGGGACCTATGGCTTTTACCAGAGTAACTGTACACTGGGGTAGAGAAATGATCACACATATTTTGAGGACTTCTGGACACTAGTTCTAAACTAACACTGATTCCAGGGGATCCAAAATATCACTGTGGCCTCTAAGAGTAGGGGCCTTTGGAGGTCAGGTTATCAGTGGAATTTTAGCAAAAGTCCAACTCACACTGGATCCAGTTGGTCCTCAAATTCATCCTGTAATCATTTCCCCTGTTCCACAATGCATAATTGGGATAGACATACAGTGGTATCTTGGTTCACAGACACTTCTGTTTACAAACAATTTGGTTTGCAAACAAAAGCATTTGGCAAAAATTCATTTTTGTTTGCAAATTCTACATCAGATGAGAAACACTATCACAGTCATCTTTCCCACTCAAACACAAATATGGCTATCTTTCCCAAAGTCATAGAACAAATTAAGTTTGTGAACTGAGGTACCACTATACTTAGTACTTGGCAGAATCCTCACATTAGTTCTTTAACCTGTAGAGGGCTATTATGGTTGGAAAGGCCAAATGGAAGCCATTAGAGTTGCTTTACCTGGTAAAATAGTAAGGCAAAAAACAATATTGTATCCCTGGAAGGACTGCAGAGATTAGTGCCCCTGTCAAGAAGTTGAAGGATGTAGGGGTGGTGGTTCCCATCACATCTCCATATAATTCTCACATTTGGCCTGTCAGAAGACAGGTGGGTCTTGAAGAATGATGGTAGATTACTGAAAACTGAATCAAGTGGAGACTCTGATTGCAGCTGCTGTACCAGATGTGGTGTCCTTGCTTAAGCACATTAAATAGAAATGGTATATACATAATCAACCCATAGGAAATCCAAAGGACACAAGTAAGTTACATGAAGAAGTTGCCCAGATGCCCATGGCTCCTACTCCTGCTATATTGCCTTCTGTTTCCACATGCACTTATGGTCTCATGGGGTGTAACATGATCAATTGTCAGAGGAAGAGAAGGCTAGGGTTTGGTACTTGGTATGCATCTATTGATTTGGCAGATGACTTCTTCTCCATACCTATGTATAAGGCCCATTAGAAACAATTTGGTTTCAGCTGACAAGGCTAGCACTATATCTTCACTGCCCTACTTCAGGGTTATATTAACTCTCTAACTTTCTATTACAACTTAGTTCACAAGAATCTTGATTGCTTTTCTCTCCTACAAGGTATCACACTGGTCCACTACATTGATGATATTATGTTGACTGGACCAAGTGAACAGAAAGTAGCAGCCACTCTGGATTTGTTAGTTGAAAATTTGAGAGACAGAGGACGGGAAATAAATCCAACTAAAATTCAAGGTTCTTATAGCTCAGTGAAAGTTCTAGGAGTCCTTTGATGTGGGGTATGTAGAGATATCTCCTCTAACGAAAAAGATAAGTTATTGCATCTGGCTCCTCCTACAACCAAAAAAAGAGGAAAAACGCCTAGTGGGCCTATTTGGATTCTGGGAGGCAACAAATTTCTCACTTAGCTGTTTTATTCTGGCCCACTTACCAAGTGACTTAGAAAGTTGCTACTTTTGATTGGAGCCCAGAATAACAGAAGGCTCTGCAACAGGTGTAGGCTGCTCTGCTACTGGGGCCATTTGATCCGGCAGATCCAATGGTACTTGGAGTGCCAGCTGCAGGTAGAGATGCTGTTTGGAGTCTCTGGCAGGCTCCTGTAGGTGAATTGCAGTAGAGTCCTTTAGGATTTTAGACAATTCTCCTTTGATAAACAGCTCTTGGCCTGCTACTGGCCCTTAGTGGAAACTGAATGCTTGACAATGGGACACTAGGCTACCATGCAACCTGAGTTGCCTGACATAAACTGGGTATTATCTGATTCACTGAGTCATAAGATTGGATGTGCACAGCAACAGTCCCAACATTAAATGGAAAATGGTATATACATGATCAAGCCAGAGAAGATTCAGAGGACACAAGTAAATGAAGAAGTTGCTTAAATGCCCATGGTTCCTACTACTGGTATACTGCCTTTTATTTCACACATGCACTTATGGCCTCATAGTATGTACCATATGATCACCTGTCAGAGAAAGAAAAGGCTAGGGCCTGGTTTATAGATGGTTCTGCAAATTATGCAGGTACCACCCATAAGTGGAGAGGTGCAGTATTATAGCCCCTTTCCAGGACAGTCCTGAAGGACAGTGGTGAAGGGAAATCTTCATGGTGGGCAGAACTTCGGACAGTGCACCTGGTGGTACATTTTCCCTGGAAGGAAAAATGGCAAGATGTGTGACTGTATACTGATTCAAGTGCTATATATACATAGCCAATGATCTGGCTGGATAGTCATAGTGTGAGTAGAAAATTGGTGACAAAGATATTTGGGGAAGAGGTACATAGATAGATCTCTCCATATGGGCAAAGGATGTAAAAAATTTATATCCCATGTAAATGTTCACCAAAAAGTGACCTTAGCAGAAGAGTTTAACAATCAAGTGGGTAGGATGCTCCATAGACAGCAGTCAACCTATTTTTTTAGCCACCTCTCTCACTGCCCAATGGGCTCATGAACAGATGGCCACAGTGGCAGGGATGGACGTTATTCACGGACTCAGCAACATGGACTCCCACTCACCAAGGCTGATCTGGCTATATCCACTGCTGAATGCCTGATATTCCAACAGCAGAGACCAACAATGAGTCTCCAGTGTGGCACCATCACCCAGGGTGATCAGCCTGTGAACTGTTGGCAGGTGGATTATACTGGACTGCTTCCACATGCAAAGGACTGTGCTTTGTCCTTACTGGCAAAGACACTTATTCTAGATATGGATTTCCCTTCCCTGCATATAATGCTTCTGCCAAAGCTTCCATCTGTGGACTTACAGAATGCCTTATCCACCAACATGGAATTCCACACAGCATTGCCTTTGACCAAGGAACACATTTCATGGTCAAAGAAGTGAGGCAATAGGCTCAGTACCATGGAATTCACTGGTCTTACCATGTTCCTCACCATCCAGAAGTGGCTGGATTGATAGAAAGGTGGAATGGTCTTTTGAAGATATTGTTACAGCACCGGCTAGGTGGCAATAGCTTGCAGGGATGGGGTAAGGTTAATCAAAAGGCTGTATATGCTCTGAATCAACGTCTACTACATGGTACTGTATCTCTAATAGCAGGATTCACAGGTCCAGGAATCAAGGTGTGGAAGTGGGAATGGTACCACTCACCATTACCCTAACTGATCCACTAGGAAAATTTTTGCTTCCTCTTTCCATGACCTCATGATCTGCTGGCTTAGAAGTCTTAGTTCCAGACTGACAAAGACTTGTACCAGGAAGCACAATAATGATACAATGGAACTGTAAGATAAGACTTCCCCCCTGGTCATGTTGGTATTCTGATGCCTCTGAGTAAACAAGCTAAAATGGGAGTTAGAGTGTTGTCAGGGGTGACTGACCCAGACTATCAAGGGGAAATTAGACTATTACTCCACAGTAGAGGAAAGGAAGAATATACTTGGAATGAAAGAGATCCCTTAGAGCTCCTCCTAGTGCTGGTATTAAGGTCAATGGGAAACTACAACAATCCAATCCTAGTAGGATGACAAATGGTCCAGAATCTTCTGGAAAGAAGGTATGGGTCACCCCACCAAGGAAAGAACCAAGATCTGCTGAAGTCCTTGTTGAAGGGCAAGGGAATATAGAATGGGTCATAGAAGAAGGAAGTTCTAAATTTCAGCTACATCCCATGCTCAGCTACAGAAACAAGGATTGTAATTGTAATAGTTCTCTTCTAATATGCTTCCTATGTATTATAGTTCTGATAGACTTAATATTGTTTCTCAAGTATTGTTCAACCTATGTTACAATGTTCAAATTATGAAATGTCAGAAGTAAGCATCACCCAAAGAAAACTTGCCTTCTGTTCTGGGGAGGAAATTAGTGTGTTTCTGTTTGTACACAGGATAGTCATAACATATTACGTGCAATTAATGAACTTGTTTTTGTATCTAGAGACTCTGGATTAAAGAGATGTATATGGTTGTCAAGTTGACAAGGGGTGGATTGTGGCGGTTAACTGTATTAACTTAAATGCCTAACTAAATTGGATCAGTATCGTTCTGGGTGTGACTGAAGGTATACACTGAAGATTTGCTGAGATTTACTGGGGGTGAGTGACCCCAACCAATAGGCTGGCCTTGAACTCACTATGTAATCCAGGCAGGCCTCAAAGTCATGGTGATCTTCCTGCCTCAGCCTCCCAAGTACTGGGATTACAGGCATGCACCACCATGCCCAGCTCCTAAATGGTATAATTGGGAGACAAAAAAGGAAGGCTTGCTTCTGTTTCTTTGGAGGAGCTCTAATCTTCACCTTCAGCTTATACGTTGTCTCCTGCCTTCCAGG